TGTGTGTGTGTGTGTGTGTGGTGTGTGTGTGTGTGTTCAGTGTTCATCCCTGCAGCCAGAACATCATAGCTTTAATTAAGACTCTGTCTCCACATATAAACTGGTCTGAGATCAGCTGTCAGGTTCCAGCTGCCTGTGAGTCTGAACAGATGCTGCTCTCAGATCTGCTGAACGCAAAACCAAATCACAGAATTGTTGATTTCCGGTTCATCTGTTGTTGTCAACTGTTGATGACACGTTAGACTTTTTCCTGTGTACGTATATTGTTGTGTTCGCCGACCTCTCTGATTTTTCTAGTAGCACCAGCATCAAGAAACTGAATATTTATGGTTGAATTATTAATAAATCCGAGAACACAAGCTGGAGAAACTGTAACGCTGCTGCAGCAAACCTGAATGTACCTTATTTTATCTGGGACCTACCCAAAATACTTTAATTGAAATTTATTTTGCATATTTAATTTTGAAACCATGATGCAACCGAGTGCTTAAAGCAAAAATAATGATTAACTGCCGAGAAGGGTTTTATCGTACAGGCGGTGTAGGCCGACGTGTGAAAGCTTATTACGCCTCCGTGTCGTAGAATTCAACATCTACTAGATTTATTAGCAAGGTTCAGATTCTGGACAATAAATAAAAAGACAAGGGTGATTAAACACACGTGTATACACACACATGAATGTAAAAAAAACATTACATATTCTTTAGTGGCGGCTAATTGTAACCCACCTTTCATATACATACGTATTCATATTTTAAAAGAATAGAAACAATATGAGACTTAAAATGGTAAAATAATACTTTACTTTTGCTTTAATACTAAGATTATGAAAGGATGGATAAATGGTTTATGTATTTATCATTTACTCCAGAAGCTGGATTGCCTCCCCCTCCCTCCCTCCCCCACTCCAGCCATCTACTCCGTCTTTTATTCCTTCTTTTTTCTGTCCTTTTATTTACCACTGGTGTATAATTATCAGCGCATTATTTATGTGGAAGCTGTGTAAACATTTGATCTCTGCCTTTCAGTGATTGCCTTGTAGATGTGTCGGTGCCTGGCAACGCTGGCTTTCTTTTTGTTCCTCTGCTTTAAGTCAAATAACTATTCAAAGTGTGGGTTTTCTCTGATCCAGTGGCACTAAACATAAACCGATAATCCCACATCTCCACTCTTTTAATGCGTTTACACAGGTTGATGTGAATAGGGAGCTAGAAAAGAGAAACACAATGTTTTATCATAAACACTGAATGCTTTTTGAGCGGCAGTTAAAACCTAAAAAGAGAAAATTAACCCAAAATATGTCTTGGTTACAGAAAACCACGTTCGATAAAAACTTCTTCTGTTGCGTCTCTGTTGAATGAAGTCGGTCAGAGCTGCCACTGAAGTTGTCGGTTGTTTGTGTTCGCAGGTCTGACGACTGAGGGCCTGTATCGCGTCAGCGGAAACAAGACGGATCAGGACAACATCCAGAAACAGTTCGATCAAGGTAAAACACTCAGACACACTCACTCGTAGCAGAACCCCATAAATACAGCTTCATAGGAACCCGGAGAACGAGCACATGTGTAACTGGAGTTTCAAAGCGCAGCGGCCCGATGTTCGTTATTTCCACAGATCCAGATTCTAAATATTTTCCCCATGATCTTAAATCGTGCCGCTAAAGAACTCGGGGGCTCCTCTGAAGGCATGTTACCAATGGAGCAGCGTCTGTGTGATGTATGCAGCAAACTTCAACCCACATAGAAGATCTGAGCCGACTGAGTCCAGATCTGAGCACGGAGCAGACGCCCTTAAAGGGAAACACATGCCCGACGGAGCAGCAGCCGAACCTGCATGTGATGGTTGGTCAGCCGCCAAACCGGTTAATAGAATAAATAAAGTCACCACAGGCAGAAATCACCAGCACGTGGTCGGCGGTGTCTGAGATCTCACAGCCGGGTGCTGAACTACAGAGACTAGACTCAGAGTTTGTTTCTTACAAACTTTTCCACCCACAAGTAAAGAAACTGCTCTGATCTTATGTCACAAGTTTTCATGCAACATTTAAACAAGTAAAAGCTTAAAAACACACACAGCAAAGTCACTGGCTCCGTGGCAGCGTTATGTTTAGCATTAACATCACTCAAGGCATAAACTCCATCAACACTGAAAACACATTAAAAATAAATGGAAATGAAAAACTCATCAGAATGGGAGAAAATAGACTTTTTACTCATTAGATGCTTGAGCAGATCCAATGTCCCATCAACACAGTTCTTATTTCCTGCAGCACCGACGCTCGCCCTGAAATTATTCAACAACAACAATGAAGAGTCAACCTTGGTGGCTCAGTTTTACATCGTGCTGGTTTTCATATTCACGTCTCTGTTTGCAAGTTGTTAAATCACAAACAGTGTGTTTTAAGTGAATACTAGTAAATACATTCCTTGAAGTAAACACGTTTTAAAACGAGCCTTGAAATAAATCCACTATTTTGTAAGTGTGCTATTAAACCGTGATGTGTTCAAAAGTTTGAGCGCACTGCAAAGTCTTTACTTAAACCACAAGTCGTCCTAACAGTTTATATATAATAAAAATATAGTATATAACTCCATGTACTGGAAGTCAAAAGGCTAAAGTCTGTGGTGACAGGTTTGAATCTGTATTTACTGAACAAATCCTGTTCCATCGCTTGAAACCGTCACATGTAGTTCTGGTGTATTTTTCTTCCTGTGGATGTAAAAAAAACTTCTGTGAATTTCTCACGGCTTTGGTGACCTTTCGATAAACGAGTCTTCCAAGAAAACACCGTAGCTGTCAGAGAGTAAACCTGCAGTTCTAACACATCTGAAGTAAACGCGGACTCATTCCCTGGAGGGTATGTTCCCGTTTGGACTCTGCAGGTTGCACCGTCTCTTCTCGCTGCAGCTCAGCGAGACACACCATTCCAGCCAATTAGCTCCTGTGTCAGTGAGCGGTGATCGAGGGCTGCCGGCTACTTCCACCTGATAAGCGGAATATATTTTTGAAGGAAATAGTCGAAGATTTAAATTAAATTTCTCTCAGGGAGCGGTGGAGTTATGACGAGCGTCTTCTGGGATTCAGAGGTCGCTGTGGCTCTGCTTCGTTAATAGTTTGGAATTAAGCATTTATTCGTTGTTAATTAACTTCCTTTATTTAACACTTCTTCCACCTCGATGGTTCTCTCCCCTCACACATCTCTACTTAACTCATCTTTGTCCATCTGTCCTTTAATATCTCCTTCCCTTTCTCCTTCTGTTTCCTTGTGTTGTCCTCTGCTTTCCTCGCTCCTCTGTCCTTTCCCTCCCTCTCTGTCCTCTTTTTTTCACGGGTGCATTCCCTGTAGTTTATGTCTCTCTCTCATCACCCCCCCCCCCTCCAATCTCTTCACTTCTCTAGAGTATTACTGTGTGTGTGTGTGTGTGTGTGTTGGCAGTCTTTCAGATTCAGTGTGACAGCTGTCGTGTTACCTCAGGGCTGTGTCCTCTTTCTCTTTCCTCCTCCCTCTGTCTCCTCCCTCCTGCCATCATTTGGCCGTCGCACCGAGTCAAAACAGGAAGTGATAAATATTTCTTTTTCATCCTCCATCTCTGGAAGCATTCTTTAATAAGCCACCATTTTTGCAGTATTTTAACTTGGGGGGTGTTTATGAGAAAGCTGACACCAGTTTGATGTGTGAGTAAAGATTTCCAACTCCGAACAGAAGAGATGACCCCAGCTGCTGCAGTTTTTTTGTCTGGATGAATAAATCTGTAACGGCCTTCAGCTAAACTGGAAAAAAAAAAAAAAAAAAGTGATGGAGCCGCAGCTCCCCTCATCTCCCGACAGGAAGAGCAAATCAGAAATAGAACCTCATTCCCTCGAATTCAATCAAGCTGCACCAAATTACACACACTAATAAATATCATGGAAATATGTCTGATTTGTTTTTTTATAATGACTCTGCCTCGGCCAGAGGCTTGATTTTCTGATTCAAGGGAGACCAGTTGTGATAGATTTGTGAAAATGTCACAAGAAAGAAAAACCTCACATTGTCAAAGAACGAGCTCAAAACAATCCTTAACCTGCCCCAAAATCCAGTGGCTGCTTTCACGGCCTGTGTCCCGTCCAACTCTCAGGGGTGAAGGTTAGCATCTGTGGTGAAGGTAAAGCTGGTTGTTTGAACCTGAAGCGCTCTGGCCTCTGTGTCCCCCCCCCAGCTGACCACAGCCAGACGGATGATAACCTCCGTTATCAGGGAGCAGCTCTGTTCTCCTGCTCAGACACAAAGCTCAGCTGTGAGCTTCGCTGCTGCTGCACAACGACTCACAAGCTCTTTGAAATCTGCTCAAACTGCAGCTTTAACCCAGCAGAGCTCTGTCTGACTCGTATCTGGATCAACATGGGTTATCACACCCAGATCTCAGACCGGCTTCCTCACTTCTACTTAACAAGGGTGTAACAGAGCTCGACTACAGAGACAGTTTATACTTTCCACATCTTCATGGCCATAGAGGCGTGTGTGTGTGTGTGTCTCCGTGCGTGGCGACTCATCTATTCCTGAGAAGATGTTGAGTAACGGAAAAAAACAACGCTGAGCTGCGTTATCAAGTAAAGACTGTAAATAAAGATGGGCGACACGACCGCACCTGCAAGATGAAGCCAGATCATCTCGGTTGCACTCCTGGTGGCTGCGGCACAGGTCATAAACCCCACCTCCTCCATGTTAACAGACGAGACATTAATCGAACTAGTGGAGTGTTGTAGCAGCAAACATGAAAAATAACTCAAGGGTTTAACTTCACGCAAACTCGTAAAGTCAGTCTGCAGCTGACTGGCTTTCACTTCCTCCTCTTCTTTCCTCCCTGTAGATCACGGTATCGACTTTGTGGTGATGGACGTGGCGGTGAATGCAGCTGCAGGAGCGCTGAAGGCCTTCTTCGCCGACCTGCCTGACCCGCTGATCCCCTACAGCCTGCACCCGGAGCTGGTGGAGGCCGCAAGTAAGAATAGAAACACACACACTCAGTTTTCTGTCACATCACACACAGTTAAGAGGCTTTTTTTTTTTTTTCAAACCCAGGATACTGTCAGACATCTCGAAACTGCCCTCCCACTCTGCGTGTGTGTGTGTTTCTGGGAATGTTGAAATAAAACCACCAGGCTGACAACAGCAGATTAATGAGCCAAAAATACGCACAATGAGACGTGTAAGAATATGTTTTACTGCACTTTCTCACACACACACACACACACACACACACACAGGAGGAGGAGCAGCGAGGTGGCGTGTGTTCTTCTTCTGGAAAATGAATCTCATGCTGCAGGAACTCGTCTTCTTTCACTTTCTCCCTCTCTCTCTCCGTCACTTTCATTCGTCTGTCTCTTTCTTTCTCAGCACGTCTCCTCCCGCTGCTTTCTGTTTTTACGCAGCTGTAAACTTTTAATCTCACTCACTTTATGACGAGCCGATGGATCCAAACACTGAAGGTTCCTAGTTAGAGAATATAAAGTGTGTGTGTGTGTGTGTGTGTGTGTGTGAAGTATTGACGTGAGTGTGCGGTCAGTGCGGAGAATACCAGCATGATGCAATCCACCAGAAAGAAGACTGTTCTGTTTATAAAACTAAACAAATGAGTTCACAGAAAGAATCCTTCATCTTGACCTCTGTAGTCCTATCCCTTTATTGGACCTGCTGCATTGTGGGTACACGGCGTAGACGTCAGTGTGCTTTAACCATTACTCTTAATAAAAGAGGATTAAAGTGTTATATCGGTCCTGTTGTAAACTCTTACCTCCTTGTGATATTTCCCATGTGGAGATGCGGCAGCGTGCATTAACGACCTCTGACCTCTTGCAGCCAGTACAGCGTCTTAAGTCCACCGTCCTCTCGTTAAGATGATCGATGGCGTCCAGGGTGAAGGAACCTGTGTGTCGTTAAACGTGCACGACTGTAAATTTGAGTCTAAAAATGTAAACCGCTTCCCGCGGCTCCTGGAATGTCTGGAATATCCTGCAGCGTTGTGTTGAAAGTGGCTTTGTTGTGACACTGCAAAGGTGGAAAATCTTATTTCACATCTACTCTTTAAATGTTTGATAAGTCGAGTTTGAGTCGAGCGTCTCTGCTGCGATGAGCCGTCGCTGGAGGGAACGTGATGGAGGGGGCGAGGACTATTTCAGAGATGGTTTACTTTTCAGGAAAACAGCAGGATGAGTTCATAGTTTTCATGTTTGTTCTTTTCCATCTCTTAAATTCTATTTTTAGACGAACTGATCCACATTTTGGCATTTAGAAACTAATGATGATGATGATGAGCTGATGTTGTCGACTTCACCAGAGCAGGAAAAGACAGAAACAGCTTCAACAAGTTTCAGTTCATGGACGATCTGTGATTTAAGAACACGGGAATTAACACATGACGTGTGTCAGATAGTCGTACATGAGAAATACAATAAAAGGCAACATGAAATAAAAAAACATAAAAATATGTAAAATCCTACCATCCCTCTTTATGAGCTTCGTCTTTACGAACTAATGCAAAACAATATTTCTGCTTTCATGATGCTTTCAAGTTCATTTTCTATTGCAGTAATAAACAGAATTAAATGTCTCAGTAACTGAACATTACAAGCTTTGTAAAGTTTGAGTTTTTGAACGGACAGTTGTGTCGGGTGGATTTTACCACGAGCAGAAGTTCCTCCTGTTTTATTTCTCATCTGTTTTCTCGTTGAATTATTAGTGTTCAGTCTTTAAACAGCTGTTCTGTTGCAGCCGTGACTTTTTAAAATCTGTGCAAGAAAACACCAACGTGTTTATTTTTATATCCTGGAAAAAAAGTGACCTGTTGTGTTTTGACCAGGGCAGAAGAGATGCAGGGGGGGGGGGGGTATTGTTTCTGCCCACAAGGCTTCGTGTGTGTGTGTGTGTGTGTGTGTGTGTGTGCACGCAGAGCGTGGGAGCTGCTCTTGGCAGCATCACAACCTTTTGTTTTCTGCAGCGTATAATTTCCGTTCCCGAGAGAGAGAGAGTGAGTGTAAACTGTAAAACACCTTTTGTCTTCTCTGTGTGTGTGTGTCATCAGAAATCGTGGATTACATGGAGCGTCTGCAGGTCTTGAGAGAAATCGTGAAGAAGTTTCCCTCCGTCAACTACCAGGTCTTCAAATACATCATCACACACCTCAACAGGTAAAACACACACACACACTCAGGATTCACACACTATGACACAATTTTCCCTCTCAGCACGACTGATCCGACCAGAACTCGGCAGGTATTCTGTTTTGGTGTTCCCAGATAACGGCCACATGTGCAGATAATATGACTTAAACCCGGGTGTCATTTCACAGTTTTCCTCCGAACCCGTCTTGACCCAACAGGCTCGGCCGGGTTCAGTTATCCACACGCTATCAAACACCCGCGTGATGAACCGTCCTCAGAATCAAAAGACAGCTGTCGTCAGTTGTTATGAAAAATTGATTTGTCTCTTCCCCGGTCGTGCTTCATCAGTTCATAATCAAATCAAAGCATCAGTTTGTTTCTGTGTAAACTGACGGAGGTTTGAAACTGAGCAGCTGCTGACGCTCATTTAAACCTCCTCGGTTCACGGAGCCCTGAAAATGTAAATAAGGTTCGTCCACATCCTGAGGCGGCTGAAACACGAGATGAAAACCAGATTAACGAAGGACGAGGAGCTCGTGTTGTCAGACGACGACTTTAATGTTTCTGACTTTGACCGAAATCACGCTGTGATGATTTGATCTCATCGTGATGCTCAGAAAACTGTCATCAGACTAAAGTGTGTGTCTGTTCTTTGATAAAACACATGAATGTTTTAATATCACTTTTATTACCCACTTTATTAAAACACATCTAAATTAACGGGTTGAACTTGACTCTTGACGCCACCTAGTGGTTCAAACTGTCCAGGATGGTTTAAACACCCTCTAGCGCCCCCTACCACCAGTGACATGAATGTGAATCTGAAACCTTTAAATCACCACATGGTGACAACAGCTGGCTGACACACAGGCCCTGCGCCAGATGTTCAAACGACCAGGAAACATTGTGATGCAGACGTGTGTGAGCTGCTACTGAAGCTGTGTGTGTGTGTGTGTTGGGAGGGGTGGTGGGCGTGTCTTAGCCCCGCCTCCCAGCGCTGCGTTTTAACACTTCAGACAAACTTAAGTAAGTTTCTGTCGTTTGAGTTCCAGCCGACCGTGGGACCGTCTGGATTCTGCAGCACGTGTGACAGTTTGTTGGTTTTTAATGTTGAGCGTCTCTCTGCAGGGTGAGTCAGCACAGCAAGATGACGCTGATGACGCCCGACAACCTCTCAATCTGCTTCTGGCCCACGCTGATGCGGCCCGACTTTGAGAACAAGGACACGCTGTCCACCACCAAGCTGAACCAGGCCGTCATCGAGTCCTTCATCCTGCAGAGCGACTACTTCTTCCACGGCGGCGAGGTGGCGGAGAGCTCCAGCAGCGAGGGCACGCCGCCACCGCACTGCCACAACATGGTGGAGGCCCTGCTGCCGCTGCAGCTGCCCCCGCCCCTGCAGCCGCAGCAGATCCAACACTCCCTGCCCCCAGACCCGCTGATATAAGGAGCATGCTGGGAAATCAAGTGAGGGGTTATTTGTCCGCGCTGCCAATCGCTTTTGGACATGAATCGCCTGGAGGTCGTCTTCTGCTCTAACGCTCGGCTGTTAACATCGGAGAGCTGAAGCCTGTTGGTGATTTTTAGGGATTCAGCAGCTGCTGTTTGTCATCGACTTTGAGGTGAATGAGCTTTGGGGTTTAGAGACACGTCGAGCGTTTGTCGGATCAGACCTAATCTGTGAGATCGGCTCATCCCGTGAGGTAAATCCTGGATTAGAGAATTACAATCGGATGTCACCTTTTGGAACTCGTATTGGATCTGACCCCGCCCCCTTTTTACGATACAGAGACTGAAAATATTTGATGAATGAACTGATTTGATTTGGCACATAGAGACGACACTAATCGTTCGGCAGGGTTGGACTCAGACTCCGGGGATTCTGGGACACGTTTGGGGGCGATTAAAGATTGGCCTCCTACTTTACCCTGATGGAATAGCACACTTGCGTCCTGAGCGACTCCCTCTTAAGCCCCTCCCCTTCTCCCTGCTCCGACACAAAGAGAAAAGGGAAGTTAAACGTCGAGTCCCCCACGACTGCAACTCGAATCTGATCCCGACTCGCCGGTCACCTGATTCGTTTGCAGGCTGTTTTGGCGGGACTGAGTATTTCACGGAGTCTTCCTGCGGATCTTCAGCACAGGAAAACATTTCTTCTTCTTTTGTTGCCCTTTGACCTTTAATCGGGGGGGGGGTCAGCGAGTCCCGTGCAGAAATGTGAGAAGTGGTGGATTATTGTTTGATCGGGGGGGGGAGGGGGGAGGAGGAGAGACTGGTTCTACTAAAAGATGAACTCACCCACTACGTGAACTTTGACAGCGCATGCACGATCTGCGTCAAAGGTCCCACACGACAACGTCACCTGTGTTCAGTTTATGTTTTTATCATTTCGACAGATTTCTGTTTTTTTTTATATATATTTTTTGTAATGTCTGATTGTTTGTGTGTATGAGGACAATGATGTGTGTGTGTGTGTGTGTGTTGTGTCTGTGTGAACTGACCTGTGGTCTGTATTGCAGCCAGTTTGTACCTTCCAGAGAGAAGGAGGGATTCAGGAGGGAAAACAGATTTTAAAAGGTGGACTCTGAATCTTCAGCTATAACCGCTTTGTCTCTTTTAGAGCCGCTAACTCTCAATGCAACGACTGACGACCCCTCCCCTCCCACCCCCCTCCCACCCCCTCCATGATGGCACATGAGTGAGGAAACCACTATGTCGCAATGCATTCTGGATCCTTTCGGTTCCGAGGAGGCGTCCTCGCGGAGGACGCTTTCCGCTTTTTTCATTTCCACCATTTTGTTTTCGTTGTCCTCTTCCGTTGGTTCGTTGGAAATGAAAACTTGCATGTGTCTGTTTTTTGCCACTTAGTGAAAAAAATACGAACTTTATAAAGTTAAAGAAAAAAAACATGAAATGAAACGAAACGCTGAAACTTTTAAGGAGTTTTTTCAGATTTGCATCTTTTTGTTTTTTTTTCATGGGAACATTTTTACCAGAAAACCTCCGAGAGGAGTTAAGACTTTTTTATTTGTTTGTTGCCGTCATGCAAGAAATCAACTCTTAATATCATATTTTGGTTATATGTCAAATAGTTTTCCCTAAATAGAGGAAAGAATTATATATAAGTATATATATATATATAAATATATATATAAATACAAATTTATCAACAGCAGAGGCTGCTGATTTAGTGAAATACCGCAGGGTACTGGACTATAATCTGTCAGAAGCTATAATCATATTTCTTTGTGATGGTGCAACTCAACCATCGTTCTCATGATGGTGTGTGTGTGTGTGTGTGGGGGGGGGGGGTAACAGACTGGAAGGTTTTAATTTCTCTTCGACTCGTCTGAAAGAAACAGAAAAAAATCCCTCGTCGCTTTCATCATCGACAACGAAGACGTCGACTCAGAGTTTTACACAGAAAACTTGTTTGTTTGAACTCTGCTGGTTTTTACTTCCTGTGACGGAGCTGATGTCATCAGGTGAACGGACTTTTAATGAGAATAACTTTAACTGTCAAGTGACGGGATTCATCTTTTAGAAAGAAATAAAAAAAAAAAGATTAGCGAGCGTTAACACGAGAAGCACAAACTGACGATCACATGCACGTAAACAAACCGTCGCAGAGCAGGTACAGAATATTCTAAATAATAAAAACTTTTTAAAAAGTTGCAGTAACAGTTTGAAGACTTGATACAAGAGCTGTTGTCTTCTGTAATTCAACGTCTGAAACTGAACCAGATTCTCCTCGGACACACTGAATATGAAGTTTGCTGATTTCAGATCAGTTTCCCGTCGTTTTCTAAAAAGAGTGTCGATGAATCTGAGCGACGGGGGATCGAACCTGTTGAGTGAAGCCCGGTCTCGTTTCAGACGTGTCTTCTGTGTCCTCGACCCTCGGAACCTGTCGCTGTTTCCTGAATTGAGACTTTTTTTTAAGGTCATATTCTGCCAGAGTCGTAAATTTTACGTGCGATTATCTTCCAGCCTCCACGGAATCAATTTGTCCCTCAGCTGAAAGTGTAAATAATTAATGTAAATAATTTATGAAGCAAATGTACCAGATATTTCCTGGTTCTAGCTCCTCGCTGAGGATTTACGTCTTTAGTTTTTGTAGCTTTATATCATTTTGAATTTAATATTTTTTTGGTTTTGGTACAAATGAGCAGTTTGAAGACATCTCCCTGGGTTCAGGAGAAATCCTTTGTTAAGTTAAGGGAAAAGCAACAGTTGGTGTTTTCTTCTTCTTCTTCTTAACTTTGACCTGGAAGTCGTGGTTTGTTTTTAAAAGAAGAAAAAACGTGAGCATGAAAAGATGGAGCAGGAACGATGATGATCCAACGTCCTCAAGGACTCAAGGACACTTAGAATGGGACACGTCTGGAATGGGACGAGCTGCGGACGAACGAGAGGGGACTCTTCCTCTGAGAAGTGAACGAGGGAGCAGAGGGAGCGTTTAAGGGGATAAATATTCCGAATGGAACGTAGCCAGGAGCCTGTTTGAAGGTTTTTACGATGTTGGAAGAAGGAGGACGTTGAAGGACGAAGTGGATCGGAGCCAAGAGCTTCCTGACGTACGAGCTGGAGGTCTGAGGGGGGGGAGGGGGGGTTCAGCAGCTGCTAGATAAAAGACGAAACTGTTTCGTTTGTAGTTTTTTTTTTCCATCAGTCAAAAGTTTCTTTTTTTAATTTCATCATATTGTTGATAAGATCTGTTCTCATCCAGTCGCTCCGGTGTACAAACCCACTGACTCTTAACGTCATCGCTCTGTATCATAGTAAATAAAAATGATTTTCAGAAATGAAAAACTCTAAAAGTTTCTTTTGCTTTTCTCTCCATAATGTTTCCAAATAAAAACTTCTTCTTTTCCAGAACTGTCTCTTTTTCTTCCTCTTACTTTACTAAACGTCTTTGACCTGAGTTTTTCTGTCCTGGACACTGATGAGGACGATGTCGTCCTCTGTTGAATGAATCATTTCTAGATGTCAAGATAATAAAACTTAATATAAACT